TGAAGATATTTTTATTTTTCCTGTAATGATATGTGTGGCGGCAGCAGTCACTGAATGGGGATTGGTTCGTTGGAGGAGAACTTCCTGCCAAGTAGAGCACAGCATTTTTATTGACGAGTACAAACAAAAGGGGGGGGGGAGAAAAGAAAGCAACATTTTGGAAAGCGGAAGAAAGAAAAGCAACGCAGTCACCCAAGGGAGTTACTGTAGAAGCAGTAATCTGAAATATCCAGGCATCTTGCCAGCTGCTTCAGAAGGCTGAGTTAATCAACACTTTGATGTTTCTTGCCAATCCATGCTGTGGTGTAATACTTCCTTAGTGCAAAAGTATATGTTAATTTCCCCCCTGTTTATTGCCACCCTAACCCTTTAAACATCTTCTATGGATCCATTTATTTACATGTATGCAAGAAGTAAACTACTGTTATCTTTGAAAGATACATCTTTATTATTCAATTTGCTGCAGTTAATAATTTCCTGGTGGTAGCTTTTACCAGTGCTATGATTTAATATAGCATTCACATTCTCTACACTAAGCACAGGGCTTTGCGCAGTGCTTCTGAAGCACCCAACCACCAGCTGGTTGACAGGCACTTTGGAAGTGCCATGTACCGTATTTTTCGCTCTATAAGACGCACATTTTCCCCTCCAAAAATTAAGGGTGAGTGTGTGTGCGTCTTATGGAGCGAATGCAGGCTCCTTGACTTCAGCGATGGCAATGCAAGGCCTCCAAAGCGCAGTGGGAGTGCTCCCACCACGCTCCGGAGGCTTCACGTTGCTTTCGCTGAAGCCTGGAGAGCGAGAGGGGTTGGTGCGCACTGACCCCTCTCGCTCTCCAGGCTTCAAGGATAGCCGCCTGAAGCCTCTGGAGCGCAGCGGGAACTCCTGCTGCACTCCGGAGGCTTCGGGTTGCCTTCGCCTTCAGTGAATGTGGGAGAGGGGGAGGGAGAGCTGCGCAACACCCCTTCAGCTAAGTGGGAGGAGAAATGGAAGGGGCTCCGTTTCTCCTGCCGCTTCGCTGAAGGGGCGCTGCGCAAAGAGGGGGAGAATTTTTTCCCCTTGTTCTCCCCCTCTAAAACAAGGTGCGTCCTATGGTCGGGTGTGTCCTATAGAGCGAAAAATACGGTAATTAGCAGTGCCTGACCCTTCCGACCAATTCTTGCCTGTCCCACACATAACATCATATATGATATATATGGGGGCCAAATAGCCTGACAGAGAAAATGGGGAGGCCTGACAGGTGGGAGTTCTACACCTGATTTCAAAAATAATATTGGTGCAAAGTGGACTCCTCTAGTAAGTGGAGCTTGGTCTCCAAGCTGTTTCTGCTGACTGCTGAGAGCAATCAATCTTCTGGTTCTGGCACTTGAGCCTAGAGGTGCTTTCCCTGCTTTTCTTCACTGATTCAGCCAAGCACTGCTGGTCCTCCCTTGCTTGTTCCTTGATTCCCAGGCCAGAGTTTAGGTAGAGACATGGTATCTTCCCCTGAATCACTGGGTAGGCCCATGGGACACTCCAGCATCAGACTTCTCAAGAATAGGAGCCCACATGCTGCAACATTTGCTCAGGTGTGTTAAAACATCATGGCTTGAATATGGCTAGGTACTGAGCTTTAAAGTCACAACTTCCCAACTCTCAGCCACCACACCACTTCAAACTCTAGATTACATAATCCGTATTTGCTGCATATCAACACCTGAAAAAAATCTCCCGTATTTTTCAGAATGTATATATGTATATATGACTTCACTGTTGCATCTCAACTGAATGAAGCAAGGCAGTGCCAGCTGTTGAATTATTAATACTGCTTTTAAATCAATTGTCATCTAAGGTCAGTTTGCTGTCTTCAAAGCACTTGATGCTATTTCTTTTTGAGATAGAGAAGAAAAGAGTTGGTCTATACATGCATCACAATGAGAGGGTAGAATGAACTGTACGACTTCAGACTGCAGGTGGGGAGCAAAACCTGTAGACACAAAACCAGCACAACAGAGTCTTTGTCAAAAATCTTCTAGTTTTCCATTTGTTATGTGGGGGAGAATTCAAAAATAGTATCCCACTTGTAGTCTGAAGCAGTGTAGTCTATTCTGCTGCCATTTATCTTTAAATTTTATGTTGTTGCTTTTAGAATTGTATGGTTTGATTTATTTGCATTATGATTTTAGATAATATATTGGAAACTGCCCTGTGATTTTACTTGTAACGAATAGCAGTTTACACATTTCGTTAATAAACGTTAAATATTCACCTACCTCATTCTGTGTGCCATGTGTAGAGCCAGACAGAGAAACTAAGGAAAACAGCACTTACGTGTGTGTGTGTGTGTGTGTGTGTGTGTGTGTGTGTGGAAATAAATTGGCATTCACCTGACACTGTTGGGTTGCTGCTCTAGTTACTTTGACTCTTAATATCAACGATTAATTTACAGTTGCACTGCTTAAAAGTTTCAGGCTTCATTTATATTGATTTCTCCTGTACCTGGTAATCCTGGGAAGATGGACCATATGCTGATACATTATAATCCATTAAGTCTCTCTGAAGTTAATGAAGTTGCACAAAGTGCGTGTAAGCATGAGAATTGGCCTGCATGTGATTCTTAGATGGCTTATAACTGGGTCACAAATAATTAACTTTCAGACATTTTAGATTAATATCAATGTAGCATGTACGTTGGCCAGGCTTTGGGGTGATTTTGTTGTTGTTGTTTGCTATTTGAATAGATAGCTCTGTGGTTATGGTTTTGGCTGATGAAGATGTATAAATCTTGCGTTCTGCTTCTCTAGTTTATTTTTAATAAAAACAAAATCAAAATAAAATTAAGCATGTAATTAATTTGAGAAAGATCAGTAATTGTGAATACTCCAAGTATGGTGGGGGGATGACAGTAGCTTTCTGGGTTGTTGGGCTCTCTTAAAAAGCTGGTGAAAGAGGCTTGCTAATCCATAGTGATTTCTTTTGAAATTGAATAGCGGTAGATATTTATTACTCAACCTGCAGCAGAGGTCATTAAAAAAGACAACTATTCTGTTATCAACGTCAGTTGCTTGACTTTGGCAGATGGTTCTACATACCCGGACATTTAGCATATGTTTTCAAAAGATGAATTGGAAATCATATGACTTGCAAGGTTGTTTTATAAGATTGGAGGTCTCTTGTAGTTATTGTGAGACCTTTTGTTAAAGGTAGATCTGCCCTGAGAGTTTCTGAGCAAATTCTAATAACAAACAGGATCTGGTTTTTTATTAGCAGGGCAATTATATTCTTACATAGCTCCCAGTTGGCTTTTGCAGAGTTTTCAAGCAAACTGTTTTCGAGGACTGCTGAGATACTAGAAAACAAAATAAATGTGCAAGCTAGCTTCATGAATCTCAAGCGTTTGACTAACACACACTTGGTAATGTAAAGTCAGCCTGGCTATGATTTCTTGTATACACCAGGCTCCTTTGTCCATCTGTGCTTAATTGTAAGTGATATGCGAAGGCAGAAGCTTTTAGCGGTTTAATCGCCAGCCAATTTCTTCCTCTTGAAAATGGATGTGACAGTGAAATGCCTTCTACCAGGCCAGGTATTTATGGTCTTTTAAAATTAGTAAAATGTTTGTTGTCCATCTTAGTTTATAGTGCTTCCTATGTACTATATGTACAGTGTACTTCTATGAACCCTGTCTAGAGTTAGATAATGTACATGCCATGGCTTCTATAAATGGTGAAAGAAAGCAGCAGGGATGGCAAGAAATCCCCTCTTCCCTTAAGAATCGACCTCATAGATAAACAAAAGTTGTACCCTTCCCTGAACTCTGTTTTGCATGCTTCCAGGACGACTAATGACAGAAACACTTAAGCTGCTTTCAGACAGCACTTTATTCCATTTTCATGTGTTACCTTACCAGATAATTTCCTCATTATTTGATCTTTCACACAATATAAAGGCCAATTCTGGAAATCTTGTCATAATTATGGGTCCTGCTACTGAAAACAGGTTGCAGGACTGAGTTTTGAACACGAGGTTTATCAACTCGAGTACCAAACTCCTAAGCAATTACTTGATGCATAACTTCAATATAATTCCTTGGAATTTCAGATTTCAAATAGACTGAAAATTGAACAAACTGCCCTGTTTACCACACCCTGAGCAATAGTAAACTGCATTGTAGCTGCTAGGTGGCATACGCTCCCTCTGGATGACAAATGCCATCAAAGTGACAGAGACTTGCTCTTGAGTAAGCATGCACAGAATCTGCATGCTTTGTGGGCAGTTGATGTTTTAGTGCTATGTATCTGTCCTGCTAATATGGCTAATTAAAGGAGAATGCAAGCTTACCAGCAAGATAGGAATTTGAATCCGCTTTAGCGACTGGAAGTGAAGAACCAGGGGTGGTTGCTATTCTAGGCTGATTCCCCTGTCCCCCAGCTAGTGTGGGGCTTTGGGAAGGAGGTTTGAGGCTCTGGCAGGGTCCTAGAGCCCTCCTTCCTTCTTCCCAAAGTTGGGCAAGCACTAACTAGGCTTTAGGAAGGTGGAAGGAGGACTCTAGGACTTTGTCAGAGACTTCATGCTTCCTTCCCCAAGCCCAGTGCCTAGTAGTGCCATGCTTACCAGGTTTTGAGAAGCTCCCTGCAGTTTAGAAAGTTGTAATTCAGGATTTTGCGTGGCAGAGTAAGAAACCATGATGGCATAACATTTTCTGTGATGTTCCCATGTTTTTCGGGATGGTTGATGAGTATGCCTACAGGTAGACTGCGTAACAGCAACCACAGAATGCTACAAAGCTAGCCATGGTCATCCTCACTCCTACTTTTCTCCCACTTTGATTGCAATCCTATACATGCTTACCTGGGAATAAAGCCCATTGGACTTTGGTGGCCCTACTTCTGAGCAGAAATACAAAGGGTTCCACTTGTAAGCACACATTTTTTAAAAGGTTGCAAACTTCCCACTGTTAACTGCTTGCTACGTTGTTTATCTGTATTTACCCAGTGTTCTGTTTTACTTGTTCCACACAGAAATCTTTGTGAGGACGCAATGTATGAAGGCTCCTGTAACCACCATATCTTAAAAATAATTCCTAAGTGACTCATTATGCTCTGCCTTCCATCAGGTGAGCTATATTCCAGCACATCTAATGGCCTTATTTAAAAAAGACTCACTAAACGGCTGCTGCTGCTCCTTATTGGTCCCTCTCTTTTCAGTGGCTGCTTTATCCTGCTTTGGTGTTTTACATGCTCTGCTTTTATTTTTTGCTACATGGGCTTTTAAAAATTCATAATTATTATGTTATATATTATGTTGGCCAGTTATTTTCTTAATTACCTTGAACACATAGTATAAAAAGTGAGATATAAATCTAGTAATGAAATAAACTATCCATATTCCATTAGGACTTCAGCCATAATGCCAGCTCTGAAATTGAATTTGATCACCCACTTGTAGTGATTCAGACATCCTTCATAGGAAGGTATGCAAATGGTGTGAAAATAATCAGCACTGAGAATTCCAAGTCCCCTTTTTTTCAGTGTTCTGAAGAAAAATTGTCTGCAACTCACCCACTCTCCGCAGAGTTCAACAAATATAGAACACTCCTTGGGTAATTTGCCTTCCGTTCCTAAGAGAGGAAGCAGAATGGCTCTCATTTCAGACATGCAGATCTAAATATTTATACAGGAGGATTATTTCCCGATTAGGCCAGAAAAGAATTTGGCCTAATTTGTCATATTGCTGCATTTATCAAGCAGTGTGTTCACAGTAGAGCATGACATTTTGGAGTTTTTCTGTCCTTGCAGATAAAATGCTGAATGTTTTGTAGAAAACACAACCGCTCCATGAACAAACATCCCCACCTTTCCAACCTGTAAAGATTAGAGGATCACTGAGAAAAGTGAACACTGAACAGTTAAAGAAAACTGAGCCAATATTCAACAGCTTCAAGTATCTGCAGAAATGTCTTGTCCAATATCAGCTGGCTAGTTAAGATAAGCAGGGGAGGGGGCTCTGCAGACAGTCCCCATATGAGCAGGGTGCTGGTGGAAGCCATATTTACATCAAGGGGACTTGTGAGAGATTAGAAACATGAGCTTTTCATGTTTTATAAAATTCAAGGACTATGCAGCATAGCATAATGCTACAGCATAAACCTGGAAGAATTTTACTGATGAGCTTAAATCCGAAGGGGCAAAATTGTTAATATATAATTCTTTCCCACTTTGCTTTTTCTGCCATTAATTTTCCTGCCATTAATTTCTTCTACTCCTTGCCCCAAACATTGATGACTACCCAATGTCAGTTTCCAATCTATAATTTGGAATGTGGCCTCTAACGGCCTTGGTCATTGCCATGCCAAACATTTTACTGGGTTAGTGGCAAAAAGCTGTTGAAGAAGAAACCCACGTAGATGGCATTCATATACAGTCTTACCCAGGAGTAAGTGCCATAAACTTATTCGGACATGTGTATGGTTAAAGTAGTCTTGTAGTCTTAGATAAAAGGTTTGATAAACAAAATGCAGGCTGGAGATTACATGGCACAAAAAAACCAATAAACGGTCAAGCATTATCAGCAAGCGGGATTAGGGAGAAATGGAATTTGTCTTGCATTATGAGAGCACTTTAAAGCAAAAGTAAAACCTTCAGTAACAAAGCAGTGCAGTCTATATATTAACTTACATTGTCATTCAGATGGTGAAGATGAGTTGATATTGTGGGGCAGCTGTTTGCTGTATTATAGGGCTTAACCTTAACAATAAAACCTATTCATACTGGGAAAAAGGCTTATCATATCACAAAGAGCACCATCTCTAAATCCTGAGGTAACTAGGAAAAAACAAGTATTTCCTCTTTTAAACTGGTGATAAACTTTCGTTTGCAGAGTGCTAGATAAATGAAAGAAATTTGAGTCCAGGCACTCAGACTTTGGTAGGGTAGGGAAACAGGCCTTACAGTTTACATTAATCAAAAAGGTATTTAGAACAAATAAAACTGCCTTTTTCTGCACATTGCCAAATGCTCACACTTATTTCTGCAATTGTCTTGTAAAATTGAAGACTTAACATGCACAGAGATCTCCTGAGCACTTCTGAAAGGATGTCTGCTATTAGTCTGACAAGACCAGTACATGTGGTTAGGATATAGGGCTGGCAAGAGCATATTAGTACCCTAACCAGTTGTTGGTTAAAGTTATCCAGCATATGTATCTTTTAAACTTAGTTAAGTGGAAATAAGAAGATGATTGCACCTTGTCACAAAACTGAACATTTCTTATTGGAATAATAATAATTTATTATTCGCACCCCACCCATCTGACTGGGTTGCCCCAGCCACTCTGGGTGACTTCCAACTTATATTACAACACAATAAAACATTAAAATTGAAAAAGCTTCCCTGTACAGGGCTGCCCTGAGATGTCTTCTAAAGGTTACCGTATATAGTTACTCATCTCCTTAACATCTGATGGAGGACGTTCCACAGGGAGGGCGCCACTACTGAGAACGCCCTCTGCCCGGTTCCCTGTAGCTTCACTTCTCGCATTGAGGGAACTGCCAGAAGGCCCTCAGTGTCTGTGCTGAACGATGGGGGTGGCGATTTCCTTCAGGTATACAGGGCCGAGGCCATTTAGGGCTTTAAAGGTCAGGACCAACACTTTGAATTGTGCTCAGAAATGTATTGGAAGGTTACCTATGCCATTTTGAGCTTGATTCAGACAACCTATAAGTATATATACTACAACTCCACAACATCTTCTCCACTGCCCAGTAAGCAAATCGGCAAGTGAAACCTGGTTAGCTTTGCCACAGCCTGATGTGGCAAAATGGAGGCAGGCTTTTCAGTGGCGGCACCAGTGTTTTGGAATGCCCTTTCTATATAAATACAAGAGGCCCCATCACTATTGGCAGTCCACTAGCACCTGAAGACACAGCTGTTTAGGAAAGCATTCCCCTGATCTTAAATCTTATCTTGAACTGATCCTAATGTTTTAACTGGTTTTAACTGACTTCTTTTATTGTATCTTTTGATTAAGGTTGTTTTAATGTTCTGATAAAATTGTTATTTTGTATTTTAATTATGTATGGTTTTTGATAATTGTGGGGGGTATAAGGTGTGTGTATGCGTATAAAGGGTTCCTCATGCACTTCCACATTTTTAAAGTTAGCTACTGTTAACTTGTAAAAAGAGATTGCTCAGCTGAATAATTTTAAGGCAGCTGAAAACATATTTGAAAAGTAAGATTTCAGAAAAACAGTAAAAATGGTATTATGGCTTCCTGTTTAGAAAGAAAAGCTATTATTCCTCTTTGTTTGCTATCATTTTGCATTAAATTGGTGTCTGAATAGCTTTCATGCCTATAAAACATACTTCCTCTTCCATTAGACATCCTCTGTGTAGTACTGTTTTTGCTGGAAGTAATTACTGTTTCAGAGAAGTAATTATCAGCAGAAAACCTCAATCAAGACGAACTTCATTATTCTGTCAAGTTAGGGCTCCTTATTCAAGCCCTCTCACATCCTAGGGTATTAGTCTAATAAACCATAGCAATATTTTAATTGCCTTAAAAATAAACTGTTGTACAGCATAAGCATGATACCTTCTTGGTCCTACTCTGGCGAGGAATCCTATGTAAATTACGTTTTTTCACACACACACACACACACACACACTCTACCCAGTTGAATTGGTTTTATTACAATGGTTATCTAAACGTTCTATAGTTTTGTTCATTTAAAAATTACTGTGCTGCCTTTCATCAAAATACCAGTGTGGATCACAAAAATGCAAATATGTTCATCATAAAATCAACACATTAAAAAACCCACAGCAAAATACAAAGTATCAGCCACTTCAAATGCCTGAATGCCACCTCATTTTTTTTCTCTGTGAAGGGTGATGGTTTGTTTTTATTATATATTTTAATTATTGGACATCATCCTGGAATCCAGTTGGTTGAAGGGCAGTTTAGAATTTGTAACAAATAACTGAATACCTAATGATGGTTTCTCATTGGAAACTACAGCTGGTAGAGATAAAGTAGCCACCAGGATGGTTTATGATTTGTGCTTTTCGGATCATATTATGCTGCTCTTTCATCAATTGCATGGGTTTCTGATTAGCCTCCAGGCTCAAATCAAAGTGCTAGTTCTTAGCCATCAAGGCTTAAACAATTTAGGACCAGGATATCTAAAATATTGCCTCCTCCTGTGTAAGTATACTGATTTTGCTTTCTCATGGTTTCTCATTTTTCTGCTCTTTCAGCTTTCCACTTTCCACATGTTCATATCAGTTTGCCTTTAAAAAAAAATCCTCGTGAATTTTTATCAGCATTTCAGTACAAACTTATCCTAATATGCAAATACTGGTTTGCAGTTTTGTCCAGTATAAACATTTTTGCAATGCAATTTCCTCTAATATAATCCAATATATGCATTTTTATGAGCACTTGAGACATACAGTGGCACCTCTGGTTACAAACTTAATTCGTTCTGGAGGTCCATTCTTAACCCTAAACCATTCTTAACATGAGGTGCACTTTCGCTAATGGGGCCTCCAGCTGCCGCCGCGCAACTTACGCTCGCATCCTGGGGCAAAGTTAGCAACCAGGAGCATCTACTTCCGGGTTAGCGGAGCTCGTTACCTGAAGCATTTGTAAGGAGGACAGTACATCACCCAAGGTTCCACTGTATTGTGTGTGTGTGTGTGTGCACGCGCAGGCATATAACTGACTTGGAAGAACAATAACTACATTTCAAATAAATGACAGAACATGCTGTGTAGACTGCATGTATTTGCAACTGTGCAGGAATAGGTTCTTCAAACATCAAGATATTGTTTCTTTTTCACTATGATTCAATTGAGAGGGCATGAATTCTCTATCAAATTATAGGGGGAATATGAATACCACCTGCTGGTGAAAATACTACAGTGGTGCATTTATGTACTTGAAGGTCAGTGTATTGTATTTTGAAAAAAGCTAAAAGTTTTTGTGCAAATATGTGAATGAATTGGGCTATGCCTGTTTCACAATTCTGAGCATGGAAAATGCATAAGATGTTGCCAGTGGCAGAGAAATGGGGGTCGGTGGGGTCGGTCCGCCCTGGATGTCATCCCTGGGGGG